ATTCAAAAAGAACTTTGTAAAAAAAATCATTATTCAGAAAGATTAAAAGAAAACGCAAGTACGCAGGCTGAAGTTTTGTAGAAAAGATTGTCTTGAATCATTGGGCATCATCACAAGCCTGGAATGAGGCAATATCAGATCGAGCCTGTTGTACAATACAACACTAATACCGGGTTAAGAGACAGGACGTTATTCAGATTCTGCTCAACTCTTCAGGAGAGAGCCACCTACAGACTAAGCAAATAAGACACCATATGGTATTTACTGAGACTGATACAGCAACACATTGACACCCACACCTTCAGTTAAATGGAGCAGGGATAATGTCAATGCTTATATTATCTAATATTAGCCAGGTTGTAAATATTATACAAAATAAGTGAACAGTGAAGGCTGTCTTAGGGGTTTGGAAACTGACTTTTTGGAAGGTGGCTGTAACTTTTCTACTGAACCAAAGTTGGAAATATCCAGAATGACCAGAAATAAACTAAATGGTTGGTTTTCCTTTACAGGTTCACATTTGTGGAAGTTACTTTGCAGCAATAGCAGGACCTTTCCTTATCAGAGGAATCTACACGTTTATAACAAATGGACGGGCACAGACCATCAATGCAAATTCCTCTCTATCCAGAAATGAGAGAGAAATTACAGAGTTGTGATTATTATATATAAAGTAGTAAATCTTCCAACATTTGCTTTTCTTTTTAACCAATCCTCTTTAAATGATGTGCTGCAGTACAGGGAAAAGATTAAGACATAACTATACCTTCCAGATCATGTTCTAGACATCACTATCCCTGGGTATGTCCTGTCCCACTGGCAGAATAACCCAGCCGAGGTGGCAGCACAGTGGTATACAGTCAGGAGGGAGTTACCCTGCGAATCCTCAACATTGACACTGGACCCCATGAAGTCTCATGGCATCAGACAAAATTGAGCAAGGAAATCTGCTGAAATAAGCTGCCCCTGCCTCCCCCTCCCCTGCCCATTCCCTCTGCTCCTGACCTCATGACTACATTAATCCAATACTAATGGATAAAGAAGGTGAACTCCAAAGATGAGGTGAGAGTAACAGCCCTTGACATCAAGGCAATGTCTGACTATGGCATTAAGGTGCCCTAGCAAAACTGGAGTCAATATGAATTGGGACAAACTCTCTGCTGCAAACAGTCATGCCTGGCACAAAGGAAACATAGGTTGTTGTGGGTCAGTTATCTCAGCTCCAGGACATCTCTGCAGGAGTTCCTCAGGAGCGTATCCTAGGCCCAACCATCTTCAGCTGTTTCATCAATGATCTTCCCTCCATCATAAGGTCGGAAGTGGAGACGTTCACTGATGATTACTAAACATTGACCACCATTCTAAACACCTCGGATACTCATGCTCGAATATTTGCCCATGCTCAAATATAGCAAGACTGAGCAATATTCAGGTTTAGGCTGACAAGTGGCAAGTAATATTGGTGTCATACAAGGGGTAGACAGTGTCAATCTCAAAGACCGAATCTAACCATTAGCCCTTGGCATTCAAAGGTGTAACTGCTTCTGAATTCCCCACTGTCAACATCCCTGGGGAGTTACCATTGATCAGAAACTGATACATGGGCCAGCCATATAAATACTGTGTTTTCAAGAGAAGGTCAGAGGTTAGGAATAATGCAGTCAATAACTCAGTACAGATATCTGTGCGATATAGCTGTAGCAGGCAACAAGAGCAAAATGCCTTCTAGTCAATTCAAGCTTGATGCAGGGTGATATCCTTCAAGCTATACCCTCTAGTGCCAGGTTAGTGATCTGTTCCAGGAAAATTTAATCATGGAAACAAATGTAAACATGTGCTTTCTCTGATAGTAGGAACTGCAGATGCTGGAGAATCCGAGATAACAAGGTGTAGAGCTGGATGAACACTGCAGGTCAAAGAGGCGGGGATAGAGCCAGTAAAGGCGAGTGTAGGTGGGGAGTTGGGGAGTTAGGGAGGGGATAGTCAGTCCAGGGAGGACGGACAGGTCAAGGGGGCGGGATGAGGCTAGTAGGTAGGAGATGGGGGTGGGGCTTGAGGTGGGAAGAGGGGATAGGTGGGAGGAAGGACAGGTTAGGGGGGCGGGGGCAAGCTGGGCTGGTTTTGGGATGCGGTAGGGGGGGGGGGGGGAGGTTTTGAAGCTTGTGAAGTCCACATTGATACCATTGGGCTGCAGGGGTCCCAAGTGAAATATGAGGTGCTGTTCCTGCAACCTTTGGGCGGCATCATTGTGGCACTGCAGGAGGCCCAGGATGGACATGTCGTCCAAGGAGTGGGAGGGGGAGTTGAAATGGCTCGCGACTGGGAGGTGCAGTTGTTTGTTGCGAACCGAGCGTAGGTGTTCCACAATGCGGTCCCCAAGCCTCTGCTTGGTTTCCCCGATGTAGAGGAGGCCACAACGGGAACAGCAGATACAGTATACCACATTGGCAGATGTGCAGGTGAACATCTGCTTGATGTGGAAGGTCTTCTTGGGGCCTGGGATGGGAGTGAGGGGGGGGGGGAGGGGTAGCACTTCCTGCGGTTGCAGGGAAAAGTACCGGGTGTGGTGGGGCTGGGGGGGAAGTGTAGAGCGGACAAGGGAATCGCAGAGAGAGTGGTCCCTCCGGAAAGCAGATAAGGGTGGGGAGGGAAAAATGTCTTTGGTGGTGGGGTCGGATTGCAGATGGCGGAAGTGTTGGAGGATGATGCGTTGGATCCAGAGGTTGGTGGGGTGGTATGTGAGGACGAGAGCGATTGTTTTGGTTGTGATTGCAGGGAAGGTGTGTGAGGGATGAGTTGCGAGAAATGCGGGAGACACGGTCAAGGGCATTCTCTGTCTCATTTGCCACAAGGCTCGAAAAGATGAAGCTTTGATTAGAGCAGCCAGGAAGGCTTTATTCCTATTACTGATTTTTTAAAAACTCATTCACGGCCAGGCCAATATTTAATGCCCATTCCTAATGCCCCAGAGAGCAATTAAGGGTTAACCACATTTTTGTGTCACACACGGGCCAGACTAGGTAAGGATGACAGATTTCTTTCCCTGAAGGATATTAGTGAATCCAGATGGGCTTTTCCTGACAATGGTTTCATGGTCATTATTAGACTCTTAATTTTTATTGAGTTTCCTTATTGAATTCAGATTCCACCATCTATCATAGCAAGGTTTGAACCCAGGTCCTGAGAACATTAGCGGAGTTTCTGGATTAATAGTCTAGCAATAATACCACTAGGCCATTGCCTCCTCTTGATTGATTCATATCCTAAATCTACAGCCCCCGGTTAACAAAAAGGTGACTTTGAAGAAATTCAAAGGGAAATTCTTTCACTGAGATGATGGTGAAAATCCAGAATTCACTTCCTGAAATGGTGGTAGGGAGTTTTGGCATTTAAGAACTTTAAAATGCACTTGAAGTGCCATAATCCACAAAGCTATGGGACCAAAAACAGGGAAGTGGGACTAGACTGCCTGGTACGTGTTGGGATCACAGACAATGGTCTAAGTGACCTCCTTCCATGTTGCTGGAAAAATTCAGCAGGTCTGGCAGCATCTGTGAAGAGAAATCAGAGTTAAAGTTTTGAGTCCGGTGACGTTTCCTCAGAACTGACCAGACCAGAAATGTTAACTCTGATTTCTCTTCACAGATGCTGCCAGACCTGCTGAGCTTTTCGAACAATTTCTGTTTTTGTCCCATGTCAAATATGGTTTTGCCCGATAACAGCTGCTCCCAATAACTCTCACTAGCTCCTGCCTAATACTGTTGTAGTTTGCATTCCCCTAATTTAGTACCTTCCCACAAGGTTCTGACATCTTTATTCATAGCTATCTTAAAACTTGAGTTGTGATCACGGTTTCCAAAATGCTGTCCCACTGAAAGGTCAGTCACCTGGCCAGGCTCATTAGCCAACACAACGTCCAGTATGGCCCCTCACCTGGTTGGACCAGCTACATACTCTTTCAAGAAGCCCTTTTGGATGCATCTAACAAATTGTTCTTGTTCTAAGGGAATCCCAGTCAATACTGGGGAAGTTACAGTCACTTACTTGACAACCCCTATTGTTACTGCATCTTTCCATAATCTGCCTACATATTTGTTCCTCAATGTTTCAGTGGCTGTTGGCAGTCTATAGTATAATTCTATCAGAGTTCTTATTTTTGAGCTCTACTCATATTGCCTCAGTGGATAAGCCCTCCAATATGTACTCTCCATGTGCAGATGTAACAGTCTCCCTGAATAGTAATGCAACTCTTCCAACTCTTTTACTTTCCTCTCTATCTCATCTAAAACAGCAAAACCCTGGAACGTTGAGCCACCAGGCCTGTCCCTCTCTCAACCAAGTTTCTGTGATGGCCATAACATCATAGTCTGATGTACTGATCCAGGCTCTAATCTCACATGCCTTACCCATAATACACCTTGCATTGAAATAAACACACTCCAGTACCCATTAGTACCATTGTGCTCATTTACCTGTCTCTGCCTGGTCTTCCTTTCAGACTTAGTGGCCCTAACATCTACCTTCCCCTCAATCCCTCTGGAACCTGGTGCTGTTGTTTAAATCCAAATGATGATGGTGCTGACTAATAGGGCAAGGTTGAATTGTTTGGAGAGGTTGAACAATTAAAGTTTTACAGAAGTTGGTTAATCAGTAAATGGGGAATGAACTCAAAGTCATAAGAATAAATAAGTGAAAAAATTACAGTATGGGATGTTTTATAAGTAGCTATTGTGACACAGACCATAATGTTTACCATGGAATTAATAAAGAGCAATCAATGAACTCTGTGTTCCAAAGAACAGTCATACCTGACTCAACATGTTAACTCTGTTTGTGTCTCCCAATGCTGGCAGCATTCTGTTTTTTTATCAGATTTCCAGCATCTGCAGTATTTTGCTTTTATTTGAGTAGTCAGTTATATATTAAACATTTTCTGGACTCAATTCTGTATGTAATAAGAACACAACAAGCACAAAAATACAGTAATTAGAATCTTCATGGAGATTTTTACTAATATTGTATTTATTTTGTCAATTGCAAACTTTGTAGCAAAACATGATTTTCTTTATTAGGCAGAGATGCAGTTTTCTACATACTCAGAATATAAATAAGAGAATTTTCCTCTGAGAAAGAAAATCTCCTTTTCAGTCACAAATGAATAATCTAGTTTATTTAAAACTCAAACTTAAAAGGCCAATGTTACAGCAATTTCATCCTTATAGATACAGCAACTTTATTATGACTCTTTCTGCTCAGTAACATTTCACATTAACATAAATGTGTTAAATTACAAATACTGATCTGCACAACTAGCTAAATTTCTAAGAAAAAATATGTACAGTACTGCAGAGCAATGAAAGAAGTGCAATAACTTAATATTAGCCCATTTCAATATACATGATATGGCTACATCTTGAACCTTCTTGCCAAATAATGGTTAAATAAAGGACATACAGAAAATCCTTCCTTTCTGCATATATTACCCCGTTATACAAAATACAGGCTTTAAGAGACTCGTGATTAAAGCTAAGATTGGTGAACAACACAACTGTGCAAGAGATCTGGAGACGTCACGCATCAACATAACTCTCCTGACAGCAACTGAATAGGCTATAAGAATGGGTTGGTTGAAGAGCTTCCTGTTGGAAACTGCCCCATTGGAGCTCCAGCCTGTGGGAGGGATAACAAGAAATGAAAGACAAACATTATTTGTTTTCTTTTTAACTATAATATGAGAAAAGTCAAGAATAAACTGCAATATTAACAGTAAATCAGGACATTTTCTAAGAAGTGCCTATTAAGGTTACTCATAAGCCATGTACACACTTATGAACAATTTATTCTGTTTTGGTAAATATTTTCTAAAACAAATGCTACACATCAGTAATTGGCAATATTATTTCTCATTTAACATTCACCGGAAAGGTTGAGAGAGCTAGGGCTTTTCTCTTTAGAATGACGAAGGATGAGAGGTGACTTGATAGAGGCATACAAAATGATCAGAGGTATAGATAGAGTGGACAGCCAGAGACTTTTCCTAGGGTGGAGGTAGCTATTATGAGGGGGCATGGTTTTAAAGTGAGTGGAGGTAGATATAGGGGAGACGTCAGAGGTAGGTTCTTTACTCAGAGAGTAGTAGGGGCGTGGAATGCAATGCTGGAGAGGGTAGTGGAGTCGGCCTCGTTAGGGTCATTTAAGCTGCTATTGGATAGGCATTTGAATGATAGTATAAGGTAGGGGTGGAGGTTAGATAGACCTTAGGTTTAGGGTAAAAGTTCAGCACAACATCGTGGGCCAAAGGGCCTGTACTGTGCTGTACAGTTCTATGTTCTATAATGTCTCAAAAAGATCCACCTAAACTCACATTCTTCCCACTAACAGCTTCAGCTTTGCTGTCATCACCACAAATATTAGATAATTATTACAATATTTAAAGATTGCTTTTCAATAATTCAATCTCTAGAAAATGTCTAGTTAACAACAGATCAGTGTATAAACAACAAAGCCTGTAGAACTGGGACAAATGATCCAAGGTTCCTTTAAAAACTTCACAAATGTCATTGGAACTCAGATTTTTAGACCAAAACAGCTAACATGCAACATTTTATATTAAATTGCATCTTCCTTTTTACGCATGAGCAAAAATGTAGACAAATGATATTTTTCCTTTTTTTTCTTTAAAAGAAAAAGTGCAGAGACTGGTTAGCCCAGCATTTACTGTTCACCCCAGCTGCTGTTCAGAAGATGGTGGTGAGCTACCTCCTGGAATTGTTGCAGTAAATGTCCGTGTAAGTACATTTTGTAGGAAATATTAGAAAATGGAAAGCACTGTTAGAGAAAGTTCTGGAATGGGTCCGTGACTAAAAAATATTTTTAAAAAACTAAACATATACGTTACCAGAAAGGGATTACTAGACATCGTAGATGCTGCCATTGGTTGACCATATGGCATGACCATTGGTTTAGGTTGTTCGAATGAACCAAAACCTCCACCTTAAGAAATAAAAAGCAAAACATTTAAGAAAAGGAGAGTTTATAATTGGAAACGCAATGCAAAGACAGAAATTCTATTGATATTACCAACTGGTTGCTGTGGAAATGCTGAATGTTGAGGAAAGGTCACAGGGCCAGATAAGACCGGTTGCTGGAAGCCACCACTGAAGCTGGTGGGAAGAGTATATCCTGCTGGATTGGCAAACAATGTTGGCATGCTCATTGACGCTGTTCCAAAGCTTACTATTTCACAGAGAAAGGAAAAAAAAATCAAGTTAACGGAAAGCTCAAAAGATTCATTCCCAACCTATAGAAGCCTGTACAGGGGGATAGTTTTGACTTACTTAAGTGGACAGTAATCACAACACTGGATGTTGATTTTGCTTTAACCATAGCACATATGCAACACGGTATGTTAAGCTATATACATGTACAATTTTTGAAAGAGCTATACTCAATGCACATCAAAATGGAAAATGTTCAATAAAAGCCGAAGAAACTGAGGATGCTGTAAATCAGAAACAAAAACAGAAGTTGCTGGAAAGGCTCAGCAGGTCTGGCAGCATCTGTGAAGAAAAATCAGAGTTAACGTTTTGGGTCTGAGGATTCTGAGGAAGGGTCACCAGACCTGAAACATTAAGTCTGATTTTTCTTCATAGATGCTGCCAAACCTCTGAGCTTTTCTAGCAACTTCTGTTTTTGATCTGGAAAATGTTCAGTACAGCTATTAGCAGCATACAAGCCATCAAATAAAATACATGTGATATTAGAACACAGAACATTACAGCACAGGAATGGGCCCTTCAGCCCAGAATGTTGTGCTGAACATGATGCCAACTTATGCTAATCCCTTCTGCCTGCCATATCCCTCCATTCCTCGCATATTCATGCGCTTACATAAAAGTTCCATAAACATTCCTATCGTATCTGCCTCCACCACCACCCCCTGGCAGTGTGTTCCAGACTCCTACCACTCTGTGTAAAAAAACTTGCCCCTCACATTGCCTTTGAATATTCCCCCTCTCTCCTTAATTGGATGCTTCCTACTGTTAGACATTTCAACTGTGGGAATAAGATTCTGTCCGTCAACCTATCGACGCATCTCATAATTTTGTAGACTTCCAAAAAGTCTCCCCTCAGGCTCCACCACTCCAGAGACAACAGCCTGAGTTTTTCTAGCCTCTCCTGATAGCTCATACCCTCTAATCCAGGCAGTATCCTGGTAAACCTCTTCTGCACCCTCTCCAAAGCCTCCACATCCTTCCTTAATGTGGCGACCAGAACTGGACGCAATAGAACATAGAACATTACAGTGCAGTACAGGCCCTTTGGCCCTCGATGTTGCGCCGACCTGTGAAACCAATCTGAAGCCCATCTAACCTAAACTATTCCATTATCATCCATATGTTTATCCAATGACCATTTAAATGCCCTTAAAGTTGGCGAGTCTACTACTTTTGCAGGCAGGGCATTCCACGCCCTTACTACTCTGAGTAAAGAACCTACCTCTGACATCTGTCCTATATCTATCACCCCTCAATTTAAAGCTATGTCCCCTCGTGCTAGCCACCACCATCCGAGGAAAAAGGCTTCCACTGTCCACCCTATCTAATCCTCTGATCATCTTGTATGTCTCTATTAAGTCACCTCTTAACCTTCTTCTCTCTAACGAAAACAGCCTCAAGTCCCTCAGCCTTTCCTCAATACTCTAAGTGTGGCCTAAACCAAGTCTTAGAAAGCTGCGACATGCCATCCTGACTCTTGTACTCAATTCCCTGATCAATAAAGGCAAGCATGCCATATGCCTTCTTTAATCTTATCTACTTGTGTGGCTACTTTCTTCGAACTATGGTCTTGAACCTCAAGATCCCTCTGTACATCAATGCTGTTCAGGGCATTGCTACGAACTGTATACTTTTCCTGAATATTTGATCTCCCAAACTGCAGCACATCACACTTGCCCGGACTAAACTCCACCTGCCATTTCTCCGCCCCTATCTGGAACTGATCGATATCCTGCTGTATCCTTTGACAACCTTCTACACCATCCACAACTGCCCTGGTCTTTGTGTTACAGCAAACTTACTATCCCATCTACATTTTCATCCAAGTCATTTATATATATATCACAAACAGCAGAGGTCCCAGTACGGATCCCTGCGGAACATCACTGATTGCCCGCCAGAAAAGCACTCTTCCACGACTACCCTCTGCCTTCTATGGGCAAGCCAATTCTAAATCCAAGTGACCAAGTCACCGTGGATCCCATGCATCTGAATCTTCTGGATGAGCCTACCATGAGGGACTTTGGCAAAAGCCTCACTAAAATCCATGTAGATACCAGCTGCTGCGTTACCCTCACTGAAAAACAGTTCTGAACAGTTTCATAAGATTAACATAATACATTATTGAGAGTCCCTTGAAATATGAGTAGTGAGAATATTACTGAGTAGGTAATCAAGAATAGAGCACACACCTTCAAATTTCACTCCTTAGTAATGTGTGAAATTGAAATCAATTTATAAGTTGGTATCAGTAGAAGAAACCCATGTGGTTACCTCATGCCATTTCGGAAGAAAGCTGCTGACCTTACTTAGACTGGCATGAATGAGTCTCTAGTCTAACATTTGGACTACTAATACTTAATGACATACTGAAATATATTAAGTCATTACAACAAAGAGGCAGCCCAGCACCCTTTACTTTGTGATCGGTAACAAATGCCTGTCTTGCCTGTAGCACGGACATCCTGAGAATGACCGATTAACATGGAGAAAGTTAAATCAATAGGTTACCACAGAAAAATAGGAGTGTCATAGAAATTCAGTTTTAATCACTAACAGGGCCTTTAAAATCAACTTACCAAAAAAACTGGAGTCCAACTCTGAAGAAGACAACCCACTTAACCCCATCAAACATATGGAATTTGAACCACAAGAACTCCTTCTTATAATTTAGAACAAGTTGTGGTGATTAAAGACACCATAAAAATAGAACTCCTGAACTAAGTGTCTTAAGCTTGTAGTAGCTGTCAGCAGTGTATATTTACACTACGTTTAGAAAAATAAATCTTTATAGAAGTTCTTGAAGAAAAGATTTAAGGGTATTTAAAATCAGGTAGCACAATGAAAATGTTTGTCTTAGGAGTATATGGTGTTGTGAAATGATAAAACACAATCTCATGTATCAAGATGCTTTCATGGTGAGTAACTGATAATTAATTGTTTGACTATCAATGTTAACCAGAAGATCTTACAAGCTTTTAGCTTACAATTTCAGAAATAGAGAGAGACAAAAATAGTAAAGCCACTCCAACTTGTGATTCTGATATATGGGCCCACACCTGAAACAACTTGGCTGTTCTCTGCACAGTTGCTGCCTGATTCACACAGACTAGGGAAGTGAAAAACCAGTCAACATTCCCAATCCACATTGGCAAGTATAGTTCTTATTAAAGACGTTGAACAGTCAGGATTAGGCTGAGCTTTAAACTCTGCATTGCCAAGTGGCCTACGAGCAAACACTTTCTTTATGACATGAGTCAGGCAGCAGCAGTGTTAGCAGCTGAGGAACTGTACCCCACAGCATGACTGACTGTCATTAAAAATCCATCTGGCTCACTAATGTCCTTTAGGAAAGGAATTCTGCTGCCCTTACTTCTGTCGGCCTACACATGATTCCAGACCCACAGTAATATGGTTGATGGCTAGCGATGCCCATACTCCATTAAAAAAAATGCAAATTAAAAAGAAGTCTAACTGGTCTAAAAATGAGCCCACCCCATTTATTTCCTATCTTGAAAGAGTTTTCAATCTGCTTACATGTGCAATTAACTTAATTAGCTTCCAAATTTCTAAAGTATGGAAAATCCGCACATGATACTTAATATCAATTTTTTTTTTTGAAAATGCAAATACATATTACCCAAGTTTAAATAACCTCTTCAAACAGGGATCCACCATGACATTAAAGAACGACATATTGCTTCTCTATTCAAGTTGTTAACTCCTTTACACTGCTGTGTTTACTAGATTTCGATTGATATTTGTGTTTCAAATTAATGTCAATGTCTGAAACAAAAACAGAAAATGCTGGAAAAACTTAGCAGGTCAGGCAGCGTCTGTGGAGGGAAATCAAGAGTTAACGTCTTGGGTTCAGTGACCATTCTTCAGTGTCAATGTCTATTCTTTCTTGCCATCCTTCAAGTGTCGTTGACAGATCCAATGTTTATAGAATTCCCAAAACATCAACAGGCCAGGAGTGTATTTGAATTATCAAGTTACAAGGTGATGAAAACATAGGCAAAGGTTACAGCAGCAGGTAGCTAAGGCACGGGAAGACGGGGGTGTGGGGTGCGATGCTACAGAGATGAAGCAGACTTTTGTGATAAAAACTGTGATGTCTATAGCTCAGGTTATAAATAATATGATGTTACCAGAGAAAATGACCACAAAAGAAAGTAGAATGATGGCAACTATACAGATCTGCAGAGTTTGAACAGATGATGATGGATTTAGCACCTTCCTAAGTTTTAAGTGCAGGAAATGACAGCTCCCTCAGATCTGGATGCCAGGTAAGAATTCTGACACCAGGAAAAGCGGAGGGATTAAGAGACATGGTGGACAAGTAAGGAGCTGGGTGTTGTCAGATTCATGTTTTCAAATGATGTTGGCGGGGGACAGCATGTAGGTAAGAAGAGGGGTCAAAGGATACACCACTGGGGACTCCAGAGGCAATGGTGTAAGGTCAGGTTACAAAGTCATTACTGAAGTGTGTCCCACTGAGGTGAACAACAGATGTGAAGCTTTTGCAAATGGTGTGTTTGACCATGTGAATGGCTAGATAGAGGTTGTGAAGGACAAGGAGGAATAGTGCACTACAGTCAGACTTTAATAAGGAAGGGCTGTTTGACTGATGTGAAGAAAACACAGAAGCAATTTGGAAAGTTATAATATGTTGAAGAACTTTGATAAGGGTAGGAGATGAAGCAAGTAAATTGCAAAAAGGAGATCTGAAAGGTGGGCTGTTTGAGAAGGGTGCTAACAGTGGTGATCTGAAAGGGAGGACAGTAGTGTGTGATGAGTTCTAAAGTTAGCCAGAAAGGAGGCCAGGATAGAGAGTTAGATAATCCTCATATTTGTGGTAATGGAATCAAGCACGTATGAAGTTAAAATGAGTACATGAGAGAGCTTAACAGAATGTAGGAAAGAACTTCAGGAAAGATTCAAATTTATTGCCAGGGTAGGCTGAATCTTTACAATAACTGATTTGCAAAGGGATGGAAAAATGCACCAGAAATAGCTATAGGGTGATCTCAAACTTAGTGCCAAAATTTATTTCAGAATTCATACTTTTCATTTCAGTTACGAAGAAAATGAAATAATCAACACATTATTCTTCCTTAATAACCTCTAGAGTTCTCCTCTTATATTCAAATGTTTGCTCTAGTTTTGGATCTAGTTTTCAGACAATGGAAAATCTAATCAGCTATTGAGTCACGTCAAATTAATCAGTCCAAGTGGACTGCTAAACACGAAAAACAATACAGCATCTACTCTTGTGCTTCACATCATGTTTTATTGGGAATTTGGAAATCATTACCTCAATGAAGATAGTTTGTACTTTCAGCCCTTTTGTACTTTTACACTATTTTAGTTGCTTCTAGCTTGATTGTCAAAATTGGGACATGGAAGTCTCCTATTAGATGGAAATATATGCCTGGAAAGATCATCCTAAGTATCACTCACTTACACCTTCAAAACCTAATTCTTCCTTAATTATCACCATAAGGTTTAGTACATGGTGTTTCGGCACACCTGCATTATTTCTCTACCCAGCTTCAAATCTGTTGATCTTGACAGCAGTGGTATTTTGTTGGCCTTTTTGATAACCAATATCCAGACTGTTTCAGATCTTATATCATTCTTAGATTCCAAAGCAGAGTATCTTTGAGAAATAATTTATTCTTTCAGCTTTAGCTCCTGCTCATTTTCTGCTCAGTGCATAGAAACATAGGAAACAACTGCATCTGTTGGCTTCAAGGAAGCTTCCATACACCCATTCCCACAAATCTACTTTTATTTTTTAACATCATTAATCCTCAATACCATCCCTGGGTGTATTACTCCATCCGTTTAGATTCAATTACTTACAAAAAATTACGTGAATATCTATTTGATTCTGTAATTTAAGTGTGCTAATTCAAATGGGCTGTGAGGTTAGGGAGATTTATTTACTTGTGCTTTCTCTCTCAGAACCAGGGCAGTCAGCAGTTCAATTTGGGAACAGAGACATTTACAGCTCATTGAATCATGGGACTAAAAGAGTACCTTTTAGCATCTTCAGCAGGGAAATTACAAACTTTTGTTTACAGCATGGAACACAGCTGGAAGTTCATGTTCAGTTTGGAGTCAGACTTGAGGGAAAAATAGCCTGGAAGATTTGCCTTACTTGGATTTGGATGAAGAAATGTGGAGCAAACCCTGTGAAAGAGCTGTGGAAGCAAAGTGGAAGAAAGAATTTGGTGCCTGTCTAAGGCCAGGGAAAAGAGCATGAGGCTACCAGCAAAACTGGAATGCTTCTAATTCTTTGAGGTCACTGCGCAGGAATGCTCAGGTCTGAGCTGAACAAGCAACTGCAGAGAAGTCAGTAGTCCCTAGAAACTGGAAGGACAACAGACTGACCAGGTAAGGCAGGCTTGCCAGAATATTTAGCTGCCTGTGTCCACTCACAGTTTGGGTGATACACTGAAGGAAATCCTGTCCAGGTGCGGTTTAAATATGACACCAGGACCTTTAACCCTGTAGGTAATGCTCACTTCTATGCCCAATCCTGAACTTAAGACTCCTTAATGGAACATTGCGCTTCAAGTTCACAGACATTTGAGCTCATATTCCCAGATTCTAGAACTTATAACAGTATATTATTGGTGTTCAAAGAAAATGCTTTTTAAGTAGCAGAGCCTCTTGGTCATTCATAATGGTTTCATTTAAAAATGTACTTCAACTTTTGAAAATTGGGTCAAGACCAGACATAAAACAGGATAAAAATATGAACAGTTCCCCATCCACTAGCCCCTTATTACCCTCTGTAATATTTGTTTATATTGCATGCTACTGGTTCTGAAAGAAATTGCTGCTGTCTAGATGTGGATATGTAACAAGACTAGGTTAAAGCACCAACATTCCATCAGTGACAACCTACCCAATATGGTGTCCATTATAACCATTTCTATAATCTTATCAATAAGGCAATGAAATCAAAAATGGGGTCTTTATTGGAGACAATTCTTTATGAATAAAATTCTATCTTGACTACCTTCAGTGGGGAGGAAATGGCCTACGGTACTAATCGCTGGACTGTTCATCCAGAGACCCAGATAATGTTCTGGGTTTGAATCCCACCATAGCAGATGGTAGAATATGAATTCAATAAAAAAAAATCTGGAATTAGGAATCTAGTGATAACCGTGAATCCGTTGTTGATTGTTGGAAAAACCCATCTGGTTCACTAATGTTCTTTAGGAAAAGAAACTGCCATCATTACCTGGTCTGGATTACATGTAACTCCAGACCCACAGCAACGTGGTTGACCTCAACTGCCCTCTGGGCAATTAGGGATGGGCAATAAATGCTGGCCTAAAAGCAATGCCCTGATGAATGAATAAAGAAGAATAAGAATAGGACAGCAGTGGTCTAACCACCTCTAACCATCAATGGCCAGTTTGTTTACATGAGGAAATTATAAGTTGCTGACAATTTTATTTTCATTGTACTTCTGGCTCGACTTCAATGTATCTAAACTGCATTGAGTTTACAGAAATAGACATGCCACATACTGAATGCAAATGTGCTTCAGTCACATCCTTATTAAAGTTCAATATCCATACCTGCAGTTCTCCCATTAGTCTGGAATGGGTTTGTGGCAGCAGGTGCTGGCAGAACAGGAGCTGCTACAAATGGATTGGTTGTTGCTGAAAAGACAGAACCAGGTAAAGCTGATTAAAGTATAGAATCTATATGTGATTTGAATTATCGGCCTAGGAATGTCCAAAGGACAACTGCTTATTTTGCAACTGATAACTGACAAAAGCATTTTGTATAAAACCAGCAGCGCTTCATTTGCTGAGATTACAGCAGATAAATACCAGTGTTTTTATAATATTACACAGATTTAACTTTAGTTTAAAACGAATTTAGAAAAAAATGCATTTTCATTTTAGCAACCACAATAAAATCATGCTTACCTTCAACTGTTGGGTGCAATCTGCTAGTAAATCCATGACGTACATCAACAGGACTAAAATTTTCTCACAAGGACATTCATTTTGGATGGATTCAATCATAACCACATTTAATGTATGCTATGCCTCAGATGAAGTTTTGTATTTTGGCTATGATACACTGTATCTGCTTTGCCTAGTGCACTTAGGGATGAGTAGTGCATAAGCTTAAACTGGCTCCTCCCTATGCTTTCTACAGATTCTAAATAATATGCTCTCATTCTACTGTACTGTCTACTCTAGTTATCTTACACGACTCTCATTTTGGCAGATCTTTTCACCCCCACAGCTTCTCTACTAATCTGTCAACATTGGTAGTGCCTTTGTCTGTCTGATTCCCCATGTTTTGTGAAATTGATTCTGGTCTTTACTGTGGCACCATCCTCAGGTGGAACTGCCTGTTTTCCTAACCTTGCAGAAGCTATCAGCCTCTCTTGGTGACACCCTTACGGGTAGCTACAAAGTAAAGAGTTCAAAAAATATATATATTTTTACCATTGAGAACTGAATTATATTTTGGAAAAAAAAAATTATTGTCCCTTCTCTTTCAAAAGTAATGATGAAAATGTAACTTTTCTCTACATTTGTGTGCAAATATCAGCAACTCCACTCTTCTCTAGGCCAATTATTCCGAGGCAACTAACGACTGGTTGACTTACCAAATCAAGAAATTGAATCTTGCCGAGACTGAACAACGGACCTTTTTGGCTTTTACCCCTCAGTAATACACACTATAGTGCATATACCTACTGCAGAGGCACTATGTTTCACTACTGCAGTAGATTTCAAGCATAACTGTATTGTCTACATTAATTAGTTTAAGACCACAAGACACAGGAGCAGAAATTAGGCCATTTGGCCCATTGAATCTGCTCCGCCATTCAATCATGGCTGATAAGTTCCTCAACCCCATTCTCCCGCTTTCTCCCCGTAACCCTTGATTCCCTTGATAATCAAGAACCTATTTATCTCAGTCTTAAATGTACTCAATGACATGGCCTCCACAGCCTTCTGTGGCAGTGAATTCCATAGATTCACCACTCTCTGGCTGAAGAAATTTCTCCTTATCTCCATTCTAAAAGGTCTTCCCTTTACTCTGTGTCCTCGGGTCCTGGTCTCTCCTACCAATGGAAGCATCTTCCAAACATCCACTCTATCCAGGCCAGGCCATTCAGTATTCTGTAAGTTTCAATTAGATCCCCCCTCATCCTTCTAAACTCCAATGAGTACAGTCCCAGAGTCTTCAAATGTTCCTCATGTTAAGCTTCTCATTCCTGGGACCATTCTCGTGAACCTTACTTACGTGAACGTTTACTTACTAGTAGAAAGTATGAGGCTTTTTCCCAGGGTGGAGGGGTCAATTACTAGGGGACACAGGTTCAAGGTATGAGGGGTTAAGTTTAAAAGAGGAGTACGAGGCACGTTTTTCACACAAAGGGTGGTGAGTGCCTGGAATGTGCTGCTAGAGGAGGTGGAAGCAGACACAATAGTAGTTTTCAAGAAGCACCTGGACGAATACATAAATTGGAAGGGAATGGAGGGATATGGATCCTCTAAGTGAAGGCAGTTTTAATATGGAAGGGCAAAATGTGTTGGTGCAGGCTTGGAGGGCCAAAGGGCCTATTCCTGTGCTGTATTGTTCCTTGTTCTAGTTTACTAAGACTACAAAGAGATCTTGATCAATTGGGCCAATGGGCTGAGGAGTGGCAGATGGAGTTTAATTTGGCTAAGTGTGAGGTATTGCATTTTGGTAAAACAAACAAGGGCAGGGCTTATACAGTTAATGGTAGGGCCCTGGGTAATGTTGAACAGAGAGACCAAGGGGTACAGGTACATAGTTCTTTGAAAGTTGCATCACAGGTAGTCAGGGTGGTGAAGAAGGCAATTAGCACACTTGCCTTTGTTGCTCAGATCACTGAGTATTGAAGTTGAGATGTGATGTTGAGGTTGTGCAGGAAGTCGGTGAGGCTACTTTTGGAGTACTCTGTACAGTTCTGGTCGCCCTGCTACAGAAAGGATATTATTAAATTGTGGAGGGTTCAGAAAAGATTTACAAGGATGTTGCTGGGACTGGAGGGTTTGAGTTGGATGATAGGCTGAGACTTTTTTTACTGCAGCATAGGAGGTTCAGGGGGGACCTTATAGAGGTTTATAAAATCATGAGGGGCATAGATAAGGTCAATAGCAAAGGTCTTTTTCCTAGGCTGAGGTGGGGGTTCAAAACTGGGTGGCATATTTTTAAGGTGAGAGGAGAAAGATTTAAAAGGGACCTGAGGGATAACTTTTTCACACAGAGGGTGGTTCGCATGTGGAATGAACTGCCAGAGGAAGTGGCATATGCATATACAGTTACAACATTTAAAAGACATTTGGATTGGTACATGAAAAGGAAAAATTTAGAGGGATATGGGCCAAATGCAGGCAAGTGGGACTAGGTTTAGTTTGGGAATCTTGGTCGTCATGAACAAATTGGACCAAAGTATCTGTTTCCATGCGGTATGGCTTGATGATGAAAAATTAAAACCAATTTTACACCATCTAAATTTAATTTTTTTTTAAACAAATAATCAAAACAGTGAAAATAAAATAAGTCTCAGTTCCCAAACTTGGGCATGATTGCAATGCAAAGGTTTTGCACTAACTTGATGCTAAGTTGAAATTCCTGAACTTTGTCAGGGTGGCAGTGGCTCCAGGGAAAATTGGAGGGCTCCAACTTAATTATGTGGCAGTCAGGCAACTGTCAGCTTGATGTTGAGGAATTTTATTCCTTTATAGGATGACATCCTGCCTCTATGAGCTAGCAGTCAGAGGGGGACAGCGTTTCAGTCCTGGAAATGCCACCACGGTGTAGTCACTGTGGGGACTGTACCCAGCCCAAAGCAGTATGGTGGATACCACAGTGAAACCAGGAGGTCAGGTGCTGGCAAAGGCTTTGGGAGCAGGCTGCAGTGGTTGGTGGGGTAGCCCTTTGTGGCTTACAGAATTCCACACAGAAGCTCCAGATTTTAATGGTGGTCTCCCCATTGGGTGACCACCACCTAAAATCAAATGCTGGTCAGTGATGGGACGAGGCTCTTAAGAAGCACTTGATTGGTTACCCAAGGTCAGAACTGCCCTCTTGGGGGCTGTGTTCCATCATCCCTGCCACTGAGAAAATCCCACGGCATTGGATAGCAATGGGCTCTGTAACCCTCAGGCTTGCATCCCAATTCTTGGGCCCTATCTGCCTCCCAACCATTGCCAAGTTTCCCTTTAAATTCTGTCCATTTACTGTTGTCACGCTCTCAAGACAGCCCAAAGTTCTTCATAGAACATAGAACATTACAGCGCAGTACAGGCCCTTCGGCCCTCGATGTTGCACCGACCTGTGAAACCAATCTGAAGCCCATCTAACCTAAACTATTCTATTATCATCCATATGTTTATCCAATGACCATTTAAATGCCCTTAAAGTTGGCGAGTCTACTATTTTTGCAGGCAAGGCATTCCACGCCCTTACTGCTCTCTGAGTAAAGAACCTACCTCTGACATCTGTCCTATATCTATCACCCCTCAATTTAAAGCTATGTCCCCTCATGCTAGCCATCACCATCCGAGGAAAAAGGCTCCCACTGTCCACCTTATCTAATCCTCTGATCATCTTGTATGTCTCTATCAAGTCACCTCTTAACCTTCTTCTCTCTAACGAAAACAGCCTCAAGTCCCTCAGCCTTTCCTCATAAGACCTTCCCTCCATATCAGGCAACATGCTGGTAAATCTCCTCTGCACCCTTTCCAATGCTTCCACATCCTTCCTATAATGCGGTGACCAGAACTGTACGCAATACTCCAAGTGCAGCCGCACCAGAGTTTTGTACAGCTGCAACATGACCTCATGGCTCCGAAACTCAATCCCTCTACCAATAAAACCTAACATACTGTACGCCTTCTTAACAACCCTATCAACCCGGGTGGCAACTTTCAGTGATCTATACACATGGACACTGAGATCTTTTTGCGCATCCACACTACCAAGAATCTTATCATTAGCCCAGTACTCTGTATTCCTGTTACTCCTTCCAAAGTGAATCACCTCACACTTTTCCGCATTAAACTCCATTTGCCACCTCTCAGCCCAGCTCTGCAGCTTATCTATGTCCCTCTGTAACCTGCAACATCCTTCCGCACTATCCACAACTCCACCAACTTTGGTGTCATCCGCAAATTTACTAACCCATCCTTCTACGCCCTCATCCAGGTCATTTATAAAAATGACAAACAGCAGTGGCCCCAAAACAGATCCTTGAGGTACACCACTAGTAACTGAACTCCAGGATGAACATTTCCCATCAACCACCACCCTCTGTCTTCTTACAGCTAGCCAATTTCTGATCCAAACCGCTAAATCACCCTCAATCCCATGCCTCCGTATTTTCTGCAATAGCCTACCATGGGGAACCTTATCAAACGCTTTACTGAAATCCAAATACACCACATCAACCGCTTTACCCTCATCCACCTGTTTGGTCACCTTCTCAAAGAACTCAATAAGGTTTGTGAGGCACAACCTACCCTTCACAAAACCGTGTTGACTATCCCTAATCAAATTATTCCTTTCTAGATGATTATAAATCCTATCTCTTATAATCCTTTCCAACACTTTACCCACAACCGAAGTAAGGCTCACTGGTCTATAATTACCAGGGTTGTCTCTACTCCCCTTCTTGAACAAGGGGACAACATTTGCTAGTCTCCAGTCTTCTGGCACTATTCCTGAAGACAATGACGACATAAAGATCAAAGCCAAAGGCTCTGCAATCTCCTCTCTAGCTTCCCAGAGAATCCTAGGATAAATCCCATCCGGCCCAGGGGACTTATCTATTTTCACACCTTCCAGAATTGCTAACACCTCCTCCTTATGAACCTCAATCCCGTCCAGTCTAATAGACTGTATCTCAGTATTCTCCTCGACTACATTGTCTTTTTCCTGTGTGAATACTGACGAAAAATATTCATTTAGCACCTCTCCTATCTCTTCGGACTCCACGTACAACTTCCCACTACTGTCCTTGACCGGCCCCAATCTTACTCTAGTCATTCTTTTATTCCTGACATACCTATAGAAAGCTTTAGGGTTTTCCTTGATCCTACCTGCTAAAGACTTCTCATGTCCCCTCCTGGCTCTTCTTAGCTCTCTCTTTAGGTCCTTCCTGGCTAACTTGTAACTCTCAAGCGCCCTAACTGAGCCTTCACGCCTCATCTCCACATAAGCCTCCTTCTTCCTCTTGACAAGAGATTCAACTTCTTTAGTAAACCACGGTTCCCTCGCTCGACCACTTCCTCCCTGCCTGACAGGTACATACTTCTCAAGGACACGCAGTAGCTGTTCCTTGAACAAGCTCCACATTTCAATTGTGCCCAGCCCCTGCAGTTTCCTTCTCCATCCTATGCATCCTAAATCTTGCCTCATCGCTTCATAATTGCCTTTCCCCCAGCTATAACTCTTGCCCTGCGGTATAATCCCTTTCCATCGCTAAAGTAAACGTAACCGAATTGTGGTCACTATCACCAAAGTGCTCTCCTACCTCCAAATCTAACACCTGGCCTGGTTCATTACCCAGTACCAAATTCAATGTGGCCTCGCCTCTTGTTGGCCTATCTACATACTGTGTCAGGAAACCCTCCTGCACACATTGGACAAAAACTGACCCATCTGAAGTACTCGAACTATAGCGTTTCCAGTCAATATTTGGAAAGTTAAAGTCCCCCATAACAACTACCCTGTTACTTTCGCTCCTATCCAGAATCATCTTTGCAATCTTTTCCTCGACATCTCTGGAACTTTTCGGAGGCCTATAGAAAACTCCCAACAGGGT